ACTTGAAAACAAAAATAAGAAATCCTATCTTTAAACTTAACTTCGATCAAATCAAACCTTTACAACCTAATGCTGACATCAGTGGCACTTGCTGAAAATTAGTTGGGTGGGGTGGGTAATTGAACTTTCAATTTCAATTTCAAATTACAGCACCAATTCTCCAATACCATCGCCTCCGTCCAAAGGGGGAAGAGAAGACAAGGGTCTCTTTGCCCGCCAATTAAGTCCCAGTTTGCAAAGGTTGAATTGTCTGGGTGGTTTTATTTCGCCACCGAGGGGAGCGAAAACTGGAATTGCTCGCCTAACTCCCGACCTGAAAAAGGACCGTAACCGAAGCGCTCTTCCGAAAGAGGAGCTTAACGGAGGCAAAGCAGCGCCACGGTTACTCCTGCCAGTACTTTTCACGCTTTGCAACCGCGAGTCCCCTGGAGAGAACAGCAAACCGCGCTCGGGGGGGCATCCAAGCCCACCCAAAGCTAGGCCAACGCTGGCGGGAGCCTTGCCCTGCCTCGGTGCCCCTTTCCCGGCTCGGCGGGTCCTGCTTGGGCGGGCACTTTAAAAAGCCCCCCCTCTCGCGTAGGCGGCAACATGGCTGCTCCCAGCACCCGAGCAACTTCCCTGCAACTTGCGGCTTCCCTTTTTTCCTCCCGGGCGCTCGCCCCTGGTCCCGAGCCGCGCGGCTGGAGTGCGGGAAAACCTAGCGCCTCCGGCTCGCTTCCTCCAGGCAGCCCGCCCGGCGGAACGCTTCCCCCACTCCCGAGAAAAGACGCTCCCGCAGCCGAGGCCTTTTGCAAAGTTTTAAGCCTGGGAGCCCGAAAAAAAGGGGTGGGTGGCTCGGCGGGGACTCACCTTCGGAGAGGTCCTCTATGCACTCGAAGGTGATTTCGAATTGGAAGGGGTTGTAGAAAGGCGAAGGGTTGTCCAGCACCACGACGTTGTTCACCTGAACCTTTGCCATGTTGGGCGGGGAAGGGGAGAGGAAGCGCGGGGAAAGAGGACCCGCGAACAATAGTCGGAGCGCGTCCCTCCTGCCGCCTGGGAAAGTGCAAGGGAGCTTGCCTTGCGCGGGAGGACGGATGCTGGCCAGGGATGGAGGGATGGAGTTAGGAAACTTCGCCGCTGGCCCTCCCTTCTGCTCCCGCCGCCTTTGGTGGAGGCATCGGGCGGGCGCTCGCTTCTATTTCTCTTCCTTTTTTTCCCTCCACCCCGAGAGCGCTCCGCGCTGTTTTGCAGCTTTTGCTACTCCACCAAACTCCAGCCCATTCTCCTCGGTTAACTGGCAGCGCGGGCCCGGATTGGCTACGGGCGGAGCCGTGACCCTCCTCCCGCTGCCGAGGTTTCCCTGAGAGAGCAAGAAGGGCTCCGTGACTGGAGCGGGATGCCGAAGCTTCGCTGGCGCTCCACCTGCCGGGCTCGGCGCCGGCTTTCGCCAAAGAAGCGCCCGCGGGACTTCGCTGGAGGGAAGGGGGCGTGAGCTGCAGGCCCGGCCCGGGGAATGCCTGTCGCCTCAAGACCGAGAACATTACCTTAGCTGGAACTTATGGTATATGTGGGCAACAAGGAGAACAGCAGGGACTTAAAACGGGGAAAGTTAAAAGTGAACATGGGTAT